CCTTCTCAAACTGATAAAAACACCGAGGGGTAAACCACTAGGGTGAAAATGTGACAGTATTGCGCAAAATTAGGGATTTCGCAAAATTTCGTAATGATTGCACGGGATTTCGCAGAATTGTACAAGATTTCGCGGGATTTCTCGAATTTGCCTAGGATTTCGCGTGACTGCGCAGGATTTCTCGTGATTGCTCAGGTTTTCTCGGGATTGCGCGGGATTTCTCCTAATTTAAAGTATTTTATTTGGGACTTCTTTCAGTGAATATTATACCTATATCAAGTAAAAACACTCTAGGTACAAAAAAAACCTAAGTAATTCTTTTATTGAAATCAAATCACAAATATTCTTTTAATTTTTTCTTGACCATTTCACTACAGTCTATTTTATCCCAAGATAGATTTTGATATTGAAAACTTTGAAAAGTTTATGTTTGGCCTTGATGGACATCTGTTTCACAATGCATGTCGTGCAAATGGCATTTTGCGACCAATAGGCGGCATTAGCGCATTAACGGCATTGTTTATGTTTCAAAGTTGACAATGTCAAAATCTATCTTGGGAAAAAATAAACTGTAGTCTTTTTTTTTTTAAAGATAAAAGTCAAAATGACATTATGTTGGCAATACAATGTAAAATTGTCAATGCATTCAAAATTTTTATGTGGAATAGGCTTGTGTTGCCAACATAGTTACTTAAAAAAAACAAACTTTAGAGTATTTAACACTGACTATTTTAATAGAGTGAATAGTTTTACACTGGTAAAATGTCATATTAATGGCCGGTTTCCTACTGACAAAACTCCTACCTGGGGCATTATTCTGTAAAGAACGAACCTTTCGATTCGGTAGAATTTCTTCGATTGTGACGTCATTTTCGGTTTGGTAGCACCAAAGCCAAACCGAAAATGACGTCACAATCGAAGAAATTCTACCAAATCGAACGGTTCATTCCTTACAGAATAAGGCCCCTGGACAAAACCACATGATGGTTTTCAGCAACAAAATTTTGTGTGATTAGAGTAAAAAACTATTAAGTTTGACAAGTGTCACCTAAAGAAAATAAATTTTCCAAATGAAAATTTGACTTGTTTTTCTCGTGAAATAGTCCAGCCGAATACCACTCAAGAAAAAATTATGTAGGCAAAATTATTCTCTTGGTTTTATTCAAGTTTGTTGCTTTTTGGTAATTTCGCTCATGAAATTTTTGACAAAACCACTCGCCTGACCATAGAACGCCTGACGGCTCGTGGTTTTGTCAAAAATGTCATTCGTGCCAAGCAACAAACTTTCATACAAGTCGAAAATTTTGCCAACAAACTTTTTCTCTTGTGGTATTATATGTATGTACAGGTTATCCCAAATTCGAGGGTGACCATTGAGATATTGGAAACTCTTAGAGATACGAGGTTGGTTAAATTATGGTATATTTGCGCAACTTTATGACCAATGAAATGCCGTTTTGAAATTTGAAAAATTCCTAATACTTCTGAAGATATTCGGAAAAAATCGAAATTTCTCAAAATCATTTTTATTTTTTCCTGAGTCTATTTGAAGAACAATTTTAAAATAAATATCACTTTATCGTTATCACTTTTTCCCCTTTACAAGATGTTGCTACCAAATTTCAGATTCGACGTTTCGTCTTTGAGTGGCCATCATCAACTTTATTTTTCTAAATATGGACCCTTATTTTTTATTTCAAATTTTAAGAGCTTCCGATATCTTAAATCTTATGAAGTATCGCATTTATCGGAAAAATTTATATTATTGGCACTTTCCATAAGAACTAAATGTGTTAGAGAGAGACAGAGAAGAGAATTTTGGTAGGAAATTACTAAAAAATAATGTTTGATAAATGCGATACGTCATCGGTTTTGGGACACCAGAAGCTCTCTAAATCTGGGATAAAAATTCCAGGGTCGTATTTAAAAAAATAAAGTTGACGATGGCCGCCCAAAGACGAAACGTCGAATCTGAAATTTGGTAGCAACATCTTGTAAAGGGGAAAAAGTGACATTGATGAAGTGACATTTATTTTAAAATTGCTCTTCAAATAGATTCAGGAAAAAATAAAAATGATTTTGCGAAATTTCGGTTTTCTCCGAATATCTTCGGAAGTATTCGGAATTTTTCAAATTTCAAAACGGCATTTTATTGGTCATAAAATTGCGCAACTTTGCCATGATTTAACCGACCTCGTATCTCTTATAGTTTTCGATATCTCAATGATCACCCTCGAATTTGGGACACCCTGTGTGTGTCCCGCTTTACATGAATACACCAATCTCAGTTATTAATAATGCGATTTTATTCAAATTTTGGTGGTGAGTTTATGTTAGAAAAATTAACTTTTTGACATAGTAAACATTTTTATTTACCATTGGCGTGCGGTGTTGGGGGGTAAAAAGGGGTTGTATTTTTGGGAAAAAGATATTAGGGCTTATTTTGGATAATTTTTTGCGTCAGATTAAAATTCAGCATCCCCAAAAACCTCTTAATTCATGTATTTTCAAATTCTAAAGAGCTGATTTTAATCCAAAAAAAAAGTAGATATCAATTCACTTTTTGGAATAAGTTGTTTATTTCTAATTGTGAACCTCAAATTACAGATGAAATTATTTTAGAACATTGTATTTTCAACATAGCTACCTTCTAATTAGAAATACACAGCTTATTAGAAAAATTAAATTAAAATAAATTTATTTATTTTTTTGCTATAATCATCTCTTGAGATTCTGGAAATATGAATTCAGGGGTTTTTAGGGATGCTGATTCTTAATTTGATGCAAAAAATTATCTAAAATAAGCCCCAATATCTTTTTCACAAAAATACAACCACTTTTTACCCCTCAACACTGCATGCCAATGGTAAATGATAATGTTTACTATGTCAAATAGTTCATTTTTCTAACATACAATCACCACCAAAATTTGAATGAAATCGCATTATTAATAACTGAGATATCGGTGTGTATTCATGAAAAGCGGGACACACTGTATATGATAATTTTGAAAATCAATCACTCAATAACTGATACAGACACTGGTGACACACAATAATTATAAAATCGTTTACACAACGTTTATTACGACTACAAAAGTCAGAAGCAGGAATTTCCCGCCAATTTCTTTGAATAGTTCTGATTGGTCACCCTTGAAATTCCGCATTTGAACGAGGCTCCGACTTCGCAAAGTTAAGTGATTTCGCGCGATTGCTGGCGATTTCGCAGGATTTCGCAAGGATTGCGCGCGATTTCGCAAGGATTGCGCCCGATTTCGCCTGATTTCGCAACGATTGCGCGCGATTTCGCATGATTGCGCAGGGATTTCGCGCGATTTGTGACAGTATTGCGCAGAGTGGTTTACCCCTCGAAAAACACTTTAGAAATTCACAGAAAAGACACAGTCTCTTATAGACCCCTGCATGTTTATTCTCATCAAATTTTACCGATGGGATGGATCCACCATTCTATGTCGGTCATTGTCATTTTTCGTTCACTAAACGAAGATAGCTAGTTGGTCATGCCGCAACGCCATCTTGAACATCAAACATCAAATCGCCCTATAGCGTGATAAAGCGGGAGCGCGCATTCAAAATAGGTAATAATGTATTTTTCCTAATTTGTTAGTCTGGAAAATAAAACTTTCAATAATGAAATTGTTAGAAATTTGTTTATTTATAATAAAATATATAATAAATTGATAGCATAACATCATACATAACAAAAAATACATTCTTTTCCGCACCACTTTCAAAGTAGAATACAAGGCGGGTTTTTTTTTGACATGGTATCCCTAGTGGGCCTAATCCATGTTTTCGATCTCAGGAAAAGGAACAAATTATCTTCGTCAGACGCTTCCTCTATATCTGTTGGCTTCAGGTCTGTTAGCAAAACCTCTTTAAGCTCAATGTCACTGAAGTCTTCGATGTTTAGCAATTCTGTTGACGGGTTCAGGCATCCCTGAAAACATGGATCAGGCCTACTAGGGATACCATGTCAAAAAAACCGTTTACCGTTGATTCTTTTACCTTGGATAGGTAAAACTTTTGGAAAAAATAGGAATTTTGGTTAATGGTTTATTCCTTCATAAAAATGAACAAAATATAGTAAATTCAGTAGGAAATAAAATTATCTATGTACCACGGGAATTATCAGGTGTTGATACGTACGGGCAATGGGTGTTCTGTTCCTCGGGCCAAAAGCCTTCGGGACACAAACTTTGCCCTGGGGTATTAACCCCCTCATAATTCCCTTGACACATAAATAACTATTATTATAAATAAACAAATTTCTAACAATTTTATTATTGAAAGTTCTATTTTCCAGACTATATTTATAGCTTCGCAGTATAATACAGTATTAGCTATTTTGAATGCGCGCTCCAGATTTATCGCGCTATATCTCGGAAAGGGTTGTTCGTCCGAAAAAAATGTATATAACCAATTTTATAGAGAATACTATTTTACGTAAGTTTTGTTTACTGTTCTTTGACGTCAGATGCACTGGAAGCGAGATTTTTGCGATTTTCATTACCTTTGACCTTCGATATCTCAAGACGCACAAGGGTAGGCATATGAGATTTTTTGGTGCTTCATTAGAACATTCACCCTTCCGAGTCCATACTCTACACTCCAAAGTTGGAGGCTTTTCATGTCTCATTATATGGATTCTACTTCTTCCCATTCATACTTGGAGACTAGATGGTTGACGGCAGTGTGGACAACCTAACCTAACCTATCGTCCCGTACTAGTGCACCACCCATCAAAACTCCATCCCCACATCACGGGATCGGCCTGCGTAAGTACAATAATAATTGATATTAGGGGTAACGATGAGCCGATAAAAGGGACTAGCTATATGCCTGAGACCTTTATAATTTTACTGTGCCTAGAGACGCTTTTCAAGGAGGATAGGAGTTTGCTCCAGGAAAACACATAGGTGGTGTGTTACACAACACTTAACATATATTTGGCTTTATAATCTATTACGTAGGCCTTACCAAAGGACACTAAAATGCGCCACATGGTATACGGGCCGGAATGATCCGCGAGAATAAAACAGCTAGGCTCCCTGGGTTCTGGTATTTGTAACGGGCAATCTACTCTACTCTGGTAGGTTTTCCTAGAAGTGATTGATCCCAACGGATGACGATGACGCGGTTGCATCGGTCTTTTATATTAAGTTAGCGTGAACATTACGTGCCGCGTATGTCACCTAATACCTAACTTACCTGATCTGCTAAATTGCAAAAACTTCTGATTGATTATATTTTATCGTGTGACTGTACCAGTTGACAATATTTACATCTAAAGTGCATTATGTTATGATATAACTATGTAAATGGCTTTTATTGCTCCTTCTCAAATTCCATTTTCTTGGTAAAGTTCCACTAAGAACCCTTTCCGAGTACAGGAAAAATTGCATTTATATTCCTATTTTCTAAAAATAATATCTTTGTGGCTGTGTTATGCTTTTATAAAACTCTCTATGGGATTTGAGAGAAAAACGATATAAGATTTTTTTTCAAATAAAAAAAATAGTAAAGAGAATAATCATAGAAAATTTTGTTTGCCAGAAACGAATTTCGTTTGAAGCAAACGTATATTTTTGCATTTCAAATGGCATTTTGTTTACCATCAAAAATGCGGTTTTCAAACCTAATTTGAAACAGAATTGTGCAGCTCTGGATTGGTTTTCGTTAGTGGAACGTTTACTTGTCATACAAATATCCTACCAATATTCTGAACATAACGAGGTTTAACGAACACAAATGATTGTAACCTTATTTGAGATTTTTCTTTTATACCTTAAAAGCATAGGTTCATGATTGACAACATTTTCTGCGATAGTCAGGAAAACAAGGCGTTATTAGTATACCTTTACTAATGGCGTTCTATAGTTATGTTCGATTTCTATGAATTTATTTTACGACATTTATGAATTTTGAAAATTTCTTGGAAAATCATAGAAAAAAAAAACTATTTTTAGCTTGAATATATTTTCATTCCTTTTCAGGATACAAAATCACACTATCGTGATCATTAAATTTAACGATTTTTCTTTCCATGTTTGGCACTAATGCAAAAAGTAAACTCGCTAAAAGTTTATGGGTGAAAATAAAAAGTTGGCAATTGGATTCAAGGTTTTTATTGTACGATATGAATGAAGTCCAACAGGTCTGTTAGATTCCTAGTTTTAATACACAGCAATAACTGAAAATAAATGGTTTTCCAAATACGTTACCACAAAAATCTAAAAAGAATAAGTAGGGTAAGTTAGACAGTTAGTTATGCGTCGCCCGAAAACACGTCATCACGAGTCATCATCCTTGACCTAGGCAGCGCTCTGACGTCAGGCAATACTTCTCGTGGGCTACGTCCATTTTGTCATCTGTAATTTATCAAATCATGATCTCGATATGGCATCTGTCAACTCGAAATGTCATATGTCATCCGTAAAAACTAATGTCAACATCATCCGGAATATGTCATCTTTCACGTTTTATTAGCAGCGTCATCTATCGAGCGGTAGTAACAATGAGGGACCTAACAAGCATGTCAGAGGTCCTTCAGTATTATCGAAACAAAGTAACACTTTCCCCCTAATCTCGGGAAAATCTCTGTTCGGTCTCTGTGGGTTCGTCATTGGCAATGTGTAGGTATTATTCTACGACCACTTATTTTACGAAGAATTAAGAATTTTGACACTATTGTGACAATTTTTATAGGTTTGTTAGGTAGGTACTTCTTAAATGGCACCTATCCAGTTGACGTCTTATCTGCGCTGGAGTTTGTATAAAAAGTTTTTGTGATGTGTTTTTGGTTTTGATGATCGTCTGTCGTTAATTTCAATAAGCACCGCATTAACTGGAACCTTGAAGGTTAGTCTTAATATTAGCATTATTGCACATAAATGTTAATTCGATATTCATTTGAGAGTCAAATCATGGCAAACCGGTACACAGTACTCAGTACGAATCCAACTACATACGTGCTAGCGCATTTTAGGATCCACAGCGAAAACTGGACCAGTTTACCAGGCAATCTTTTCCGAATGATTGGAGTAGTTTTTATTGAAGTATAGCTTCCTCTCTCGGCGTAACCGGTCCCTTTATTTCAGTAAAAATATCTGAGAGGACCCCCAACGTCCGGTGCCAAACCATTGGACCAAGTCGGTTCTAGGTGTAGCGTTACCTCTCAGGTCAGACCATTTACTTAGCATGCTTTGCTTTTTGGAGCAAGGATAACTTTGGAAAATATTTTAAAATTACAATCCTCACACTTTTTACCTATTCTTACTTACTGTGTGGAATAGGGATTAAAAAAATTATGGGATTCGATTTCAATTTATTAATTATCTTCACTGTACTGGGTCTAAAAATTCCGCAAAAAGTATTTTGCCGCAAGTTATATATTATTTACGCGTTTTGAGAAACCCTGGGGAAGGATGGAGTACACAAAATGCAGTAAGTTTTTTAATTGTCATACAAACTAACAATTTAGCTAACTTCTCAGAAACTTCTTACAAAAACTTGCTTCTCCCATGGAGTACTTTCAGTGGCGTAGCAAGGTTGGACGGGGCCCCGGTGCAAATTAATTGCAGGGGCCCCCCAGTAAATAATTCTTTAAAATTTTTAATTTGCTAAAGGAGCATACAACAGTCATAGGCAAAAATAATCGGAATGCCATATACACTTGAGATAAGTCACTTTCTAATCCAAATTTTTCAAGTATTAATTCAAAATATTGCCTGGCGCTCATAGAGTTGTTTAGATGGTCCTTGGCTAAAGTAATAAGTTGAACATATTGGGGTATTAGAGAATGACTGACTAATTCAGAGTATTTGATACAATTTTTTTTTACGTTTTTCAACGATTGTCGATTCAGAAGAAGTAAGAATAATATTTGGTTGTGAAAAGTCAAAATAATCTTTAACATATTCCATACCAACCTGTGTAATAGTTGACCAACTACTTCGTCAATTACACGATAATAAATAGTCACTTTTAATTTGGTTTCAGAGCTCTCAAATCTGTGGTCGTTCGCGAGTTCATCAAAATAATTTTTATATCAGACTTGCGTTTTTTTTGGAAACAATGGATTAATATTTCACTTTTTTACTAATTCCACTGCTTCACCTTTAATTTCTTCGTATGAATCTCTCAGCTTTAATACATTATTTCGAACTTCTCTTAAAACTTCTGCCCCTGTGAGTTTTCTCCACTTTTGTTCGTAAAAATTTTTGCGCGAGGCTTCGGGGCCCCTTCACCACCGGGGCCCCGGGGCGCCGCACCGAATTGCCCTACGATAGCTACGCCACTGAGTACTTTGTTATAAAAATATCTTTTCCCCCTCGAGAAAAATAAAAGATTCTACACACGTCTAAAACTATTATGAATGAGTGTTTGAAATATTTTTTTGCCTTCGACCCGAGTAGCCCAGGATCAGCAACCGGCTTAAATGGGAATTTCGAGGAAAAACCGAGTTTTATAATTTGCTTCACAAAAAGGGAGAATGGAATGGTCTTAAATGGAAAGTGACGGTTTTCCGAGTAAGCCTAAATATTTTAAGCTTTCTTTTTGGGGTCGACGAATTTTCGTTAATTATATTTTCTCCTTAAATACTTTATCTGAAATGTACTAAGGCAAGTTTGTATTTTTTTTTCTGCAAACAGCGTTTGGAAAACATTTTCAATTTAGTTTCATGTGAATTTCTGTATTTTTTGTTGAGAAAATCTACCACATGCAATGAAAAAGCAAGGATGAAATATTTGGCTAGACAAAGAGATAAAAATGGCCTTATTATAGGCATCCTCCACCAAATGGGACAGATTTTTTCCACATAACAGCTTATCTGGAGAAACTTTCGCTCTATAAAGCTGCCAATAAAATAAGGTAGCTTTGGCAACAAAGTCAGAAAGCTACATATCCAACACAGAGTTATGATTTTATATTCTCTCTGGAATACTCTGGATTTAGAAAATATACACGCTCGCGAAATTTCAAGTAGGCTGGACGCCATGTTTTATGTATTGTGAAAAATGAGCAGTAAATATTTATTTTTTTAAGAAAATTGTGGGAGTAAATATTTATTTGTCTATAAATACGTTTTTACTTGGATGTAGGTAGCTGCAGCTGCAATTGAGCATCCGTATTTAGGATCTTGTTTCCTAGCTCTGCAAAAAGAGGGTGCTAGAAAAGGTGTCCTATACCTACATAGTCAGTCTTACTAGAGATCGAGAATAATCGATAGTTTGGCTATCGATAGTTGCGACCCTGCAATACCTGCTTGTTACCAACCTAAACATATCAATTATTAATCGCTTTAGTTAGAAAAATAAAATTTTTGTTTCAGCATTTTGAATTTTGAAACTATCGAAAACCATGGATAATTATTGAATGTTTTTTTGCCGTCTATCGCCTATTATCGATAGTTCTCGACCTCAAGTCTTACCACTCCCTGACTGAATTACTACGTCCCGAAGTTACCTTGTTATTAGGGCGCTAACTGCAGACTGATAATCTGTATTCAACTAATTTTCATATAGTGCTAGCGGTACACATAGATATTTAGTAAAAAGCGGCAAATTGTGTTAAAAGCATGAATTTTGGTACACTTGGTTTTGAAACCATAATAGTCCCAGAGACGGCTGCAGAGAAACTGTTGTCATAAGGTGGACGAACGAAAATAATATGAATATTAGTTGAGGCACTAATTAAGAGAATACGCGAAGGTTGCCTGCGAAAATCCTGCCGAAACAGTGTTTTTCAATTTTTTTTATTAGATAAATAATTACAGTAACTATCTTTTAGAGGTGGACATGCAATGAAATCACTATGTTGTAGGAGAGCGTGAGGCGAATTCAACCATATAAGGCTGCCTGCCCCCACCCTGCCGCAACACCCTTGCAGCCTGGCTGAAAATGTCGGTTTTTTATCAATAACTATCGTCATCAGGTGGACGCATAAATTAGGTCTCAAATTAAAGGTCTCGATCTCCTCTTTCCATCAAACTAAGGCTGCCTGCTCAAATCCTGCCGAAAGATGTGGTTGCCTCGTTTTTAAAGTTTCCGGTACGTGCGCCGCGCGCTGGGTATTTGCGGAGCGCGAGGTGTTTAGTGGCGAAAAAGTCGTCTACACAACACCGAAACGAGTTTTTATTTTTGC